CTATGAGATGTGTTTCTTGATTTTCTTATTCATTAACTTGTTTTGTTATTTTGTTCATAATCTGGCGAGCGTGAACTTGCTGAGGAGTTTTGTTGTCAACGCTCACTTTCTGGAGAGTTTTATTGTGAGTGAGGTCAATATAGTTGTAACATTTTTCCTCTGCATGCGTATGAGGAGAAAGAAAGATGCTTTGCCTCGGTCTATTGTTGCTATATTTGATCCGGGCAGACATTGCTATCGAGTTGGCCTTATGAACAAAATGATTGACTTTGCCTTCCCATATCCGTGCAGGTTTGTATTCCTTCTGTACCTGTTTATTTATTACTTATAGAGATTATTAGGAAACTGCATACTTTACTATTGATGAATTGTACAATTTATAGTGTTTGGCATAGTAGGAATCATATACAAGTTATTTATGAATATTATACATTGGATAAATTAATTGAACAATGATATTTATGTAATATCTATTTTGAAAGCCAAATGCTTGCATGATGCTCAATAGAAGTTATTGTGATTGTTGGTCGTGTATGTATATTACAGATATGGGAATGTATATATATAGAGGTGTTCAATCTTTCTTAAATTGTCAATAAACTTACATACAAAAATTATATACGAATATATCGTACATACGAAAATTACCATTTAAAAAATTTTTTTTATATGTATTACATATCCATTTTTTTTATATAATTATATACAATTTTTTCGATGTAATTACATACGAATAAATTTGTATGTAACATTATATTGTATACAGATTTTTATTTGTATGTAATTTATATGTAACATTATTATATACGAATTTTGGAGTTTGATCATATTTAACGCGATTTTTCTTGTAGTTAATAAAGACTATAATTTTTCATGGTGAAGAACTCATAATAACTATCACTAGTCCTTAGAGCAAGCTACTTTGGTTCTAAGATTGAATGGTGTCCCTATGCATGATGTGCCACAAATTTGTATCTTCATGTGAACCATTTAATTCTTTCAATATGCAAAAAGAACTACACCTACAAACACTTAATCTAGGGAACTCTTACTTCAAGAACTATATCTACAAATTTTGACGATAAGGATTTTCTACCATTAAGGTCACGTAAACTCCCATCCCATACTAACTTCGTGCAGCTTGACAAAAACCGTAAGGTTTGGAGGCTTATTACTATACCACTAACTTAGTTTAACCACCTGAACACATAAAACAGGTCTTAGGCACCCATACATTATACCAGCACTAAGGAAAATTCTATACAACGAGTGACAAATTGGATGGAACAGTAAGGATTACAATTTAGTAATATATATATATATATATATATATTCAAATCAATCATCCATTACACAAGAATTCAGAGATTACATCTAACCCTAACAAGATGGATTTGGTTCTCCACTTCCATGGAGAACCCTAGAGCTTACAAACATGGATGGAAGAACAAGGAAAGCCAAAGGAAGAGGATGAGATGTTCCTACAAGCTCCTCACGGCCTTCATGAGCTCCAGTAGTGAAATCGCACCTCCAAAGAACCAAAGACCTAAAGCTCTTCGTGTTTCTGAGTTAAATAGAGCAAATATGTCATGTCAACAAAAATGGCGCTCAAGCACCCCCTAGATGGTCGGCGCCCGAGCGTGCATCAGTTGTGGTGCACTAGCGCTCGCGCCCATGGAAAAAGGGGGCCCGGGCGCGGTTCTGCTGCACTGCTTCTTTTTCTCATTTTTGTGCAGATATGCTTGTTTTTGTGGCTGTTTCAATTCTTTACATTGTTGGAGATTCTTCCAAGCACATTATTAGCTACAAAATAAATGAATTATAGATGAAATTACATCAAAGTAGTCCAAAATACAATTATTCATAAAACTAAAATAAAAGAGATGATTAAGCAAGTTACAAGCTAGAAAAGAGTTGATTTTGCTACTAAAATGATGCTTAAATAATGGTAAGAATTAGCATTATCACCAATACAACACACTGAATCAACAATCTTTGCACCACAACAAACTGAAGTAATAATATCTCCACCAACATATCTGCTTCCTATTAAGCAATCAACTGATGTTTAATTAGTAAACAATGTTAGGACTTTTATTTTGAAGACAATGTTTGATGTAATGTTTAATATTGAAGACAATGTTTTATATTTGATGTAATCCCTGGACAACCCTTTCTTTTATTCCTAATGCAAAGCATGTATATGCTTTGTGAAAGAGGATGTCATGTATTTTAATAACTTTGGGATTATGTTAAAGTATATTATCAGGTTTCTTTTGGTGTATTTATTAATGACCATTGTTGAATATCCCTTCTTGCTTATTGACTACAATTTTTCATGTAATGAGTAAACTATATTTGCTTCTAGACAGACACCATTTTTTATTTGCCTTGCACACTTTTTTAAACACTAATCAATAACCTTTATAATTAAAATACACATTAACATTACAAATACTCAATTACATTACATAAACTTCTTATAACAAATCAACCAAGTTTCATTAACATTGATATTACAATTACATTAAAAACACATATAACAAACATCATCCCCATTAACACCTTCAACCACTTTTTCAACATAAAAACACATTTCTCTAAACAAGCTATTTTCATCTTTTTCATATCTCTTTGTTCCATCTTCATCAAAGTTCTAACCATTTCTTCATTTTTCGCACTTTGACTCCTTTCTTCCACATTCAGCATATTTCCACATATATCTTTACCACTTTCTTCAATTCCTTTTTCACTGTACCACTGAAAGAAGTTGCAGCCAACCAAATCTTCACTCCTACCCTGTTCAACAACACAACAACAACACACATCTACTGCTTCGTCAAAATCCAAAAAAGAAAACTCACATTTCCGCCACTACTGTGTTGAATGCCCTAACTGTTGCATGTGCAAGACGAAGACGAATGAGACATTGCTCAGCTAAACAGTGTTGTAGTTCTGCCTTCCACAACCTCTTCTTTCCTAAGACGAAGAACAATGACAAATTCTACATGAAGGACCCCTTTAAATGTTAAGGCAACCATAACAATTTCAGCCTCCACGTGAAAATCATGATTATAAAACATATCAGCTAGTAAATTTAATACACAATGACACGTCTTCTAAAAACATTATAGCTCAACATCTATTGACGTTGTCTGTCACTAGTTAATGGAAAGAGCTTAATTGTTACGAGTTTTCAAATTTATGATCCAATTGAGACCGTTATCAACAAAATGACCTACTTGAAATTTCTCAACAAATATGAAGAACATTTGAAGGTTTAAACCAAAAACCAACCACAAACCAAGATTATATGATTGTTAAATTGAAAATATTATGGATCCATAGAGAAGCTGGAGACATCCTCTTGCTCCTCCCCAACATTAAAAAAAGTTAAAACAGTTGTCTCTCCCTATTACATCCTCTACTTCGGTATATTTTCCCTCAAAACTCCAGATGAAACCTTCCTAACAGAAATCTCAAAGGTGCTGAAAAGGTTGTTGTCAATTTGCCAAAGAGTTGTTTTTCAGTGAGAGTGTGTTGCTGCCAATAACAAATTTGGTTTCTATTTTGTCTCCTCCTTATGTGGCAGTAGACAGTCCAAGCTTCATTTGGGCCATTCCATGTGTAGTCCAATAGCACGTCAGATGGAGAGGACTCCTGCCCCAACATTGTTAATTGCACCAGTTTTCCAAGAAGGGTTAAAATTGTCTTTGCTCAAGTAACTATCTTCAACTTCCAAATTAAACCACATTTCGTCCAGAGCTCTAAAGAAAATGTTCTAATACTCAAATTGAAATTCTTTGAGTTTAAGGATGCAATGCAATAAGAATTAGCCAATTAGAGATATGGAGAAAAATATTATGATCCAAGTAGCCAACATCTCTGAGTTACGCTGACATGACCTTTGCAAATTGCCTTCATCTTCCAATATGAACTGCAATCCAAAAGTTATGTTTTACTACTCAAATTAAAGTTCTTTGAGTCTAGAATCCAATTCAACTAACCTCAACGCAATTGAACACCTATGGAAAATGTTATGCACAAAATAATTAGCAAGGATCGGAACTGTCAGGATGAAATTTTCAGCATCAAGACTCAACTTTTGCACCACTTCAGGTTTGGATTTAATTTCCTAAAAAGTGCAGAAAATACACTAATCATGTAGAATAAAAGAAATGAGAATCCTAAGGGATTGTAATAACTCTAGATATTATGAGAGTATAGAAATTGAATTATCAAATATCCCCACACTTAACTTTTGCACTCCTAGACAATCAAGATTAGAAAACCTAAGATGCTAAGAATATGCAAACACTGAACAACTGAAAACAAGAACTGTGAGCAAAAACACAGAGAAACAGGACAGAACTAGGCAATCTGAGACTGAACCAAGTAAATTACAGGCACTGTTATAGAACTTTGCTGTTAAAAGACAACACACTTATCACAAAGGATTTCAAAGAAAACATAACTATCCTTAACAAATTGACTGTCATGTAACAAGGTTTAAGTAATAGAAGGAACATATAACAAATTGTTTTGTTAAAAACTGATATGTAAGTCATGAGGTGACACAGCCACCACCACATTTTAAAAACATTCACGGTTGCATATAAATATTTAATCAAGACCATCATCATATGATTAAGTTGTTACATATGTTGAGATTCACCAATCATAAAAACTTACATCAGATTCTAGAATCCAAGAAATATTTCCAATTGGTTGAGAATTAGACTTCGTCAACATTGCTCTCGTGTGAACATTATTTCCAGAATTGTTATTACGATTAACCCGAGTATTTAAAGTTTACCCCCATGCCGTCGTGAGCTAAATTGCTGTAATCATAGGCTTCGCTCTTGTCCAAATTGATGTGCCTGCCCGATAACACTAACGCGAGGTCACATCCCTACTTTTAAATTAGTACAGTGTTAACGAATGCATTTTATAGCACAGAAAGAAAGGCTATCAGAAACATTACTGTGGGCCTGAATTTCAAAGATCAACAATCCAAAATTGGAGATATCCAAAAACGAGTAATATAAATCCAATACAAAGAAAAGAGCTGAATTCCAGGAATCAACTAAAAGAATGGCACAATTTCTAAATTTCACAAAATTGAGTAGAGACTAATTGCTGAATATCCTGGAATGTACAAAAGATGAATCCTGAAAATCTGCTCTAATCCCCGACCCAAGAAAAACACAAAAAGAAACAGAATATATCCTATTGAAAACGACTATATTTAATATGACACATTCTAATTTTACACAATTCCTAGGCTGGCTCTCAAGGTGGAAAACCGAAACTAAGTAATGTACAAGCATCCTACACCAAATTACTTCTGCTGGCCAATCTTGGGCTTGGTTCTCATACTGGCTCGTCTAGCAACATCCCATGCCTTGGGTGGGGCATATACACCAAGCTGTGCGGCAAAAAAGGATTCATACCCAGGTGAATCAAAGGCGAACCCGGTGTGCTTTGATATCTCACGTGGGAGTTGAGATATTGCATAACTCCTTGCCTCAGCTGGTGTGAGCTGGTTCCCTATCTCCAACAACTGCGCCCTACCAGTGTTATCTAGCTCATCTCTATGCATTTCTTGAATAATCTGATAATCATAGGGGGAGAACCATCTTTGAACCCTGAAACAAATGAATAAAAAATGAGCAAGGCTGCAGCAATAAAGTGGTCACCAATTTTTTACATGTCCAGTTTTTCACATCCTCCAAAGCTATATCTCACATACAAAAGACTCTTTCCATTATATTGTAATGCAAAAATACAGATTAGCATGAGAATGGATGTGCCAGCCACTTTTATCCAATGAAACATTATAAAGGATTATCATCTCTTGAAACCCAGACTCCTTTCCTGCATTAGCAACTAGAACTCCAGTGCATGTCTTGACTCTAATATTTATCACTGTTTAAATATCGTAAAGTTCTGCAACTAAACTATAGAATCCCGGACAAAAATGCAAAATTTCTTTAAATCAGAACCTTACCCTTGGTAAACAAAGTCACAGAAAAGTGCAGCAACAGGAACTAGAAGTAGCATGACGTAGAAGTAAAACGTAGTCATTATGACATAAATGACGAAATAAATATTTTCCTGCAGAAAATGAAACAGAACTCAAGTTAACAGAGTTCTTAACGATGGGTCATAAGGAAATTTCCTAAGTGTCTTGACACACACGCCCAGAGTAGAAAAGGAATTCACCTGACGATCATAAGGAGTGCTAATCCCTGAATATATAAAAATAAAAATAAACCAGGCTAATATACTTCCACCAACACTAATATAGTGCCATCTAGTGATGGAATTACAAATCATAAGCAGTCGCAAGTTGACGGTTATTACAACACAAGTGAAGGCCATTGTACTGACATCCCATAATCCAAAGATCTTGCCTGCTGAGTTTTTAGCACTTAAATTTGTTGTACTCACAAAATAGAAGAATATTAGAGATTGGTAAATAGAAAAGAATGCCCATATTGCCACAACTTTCCATTTAAAGAAAACATTTCTTATTCCTTCCATGTATAGTTCAGGATACTTCTTGGATAGAGATGAACTGACATCCTGGCAAAGGCACAAGTAACTAATCAGAACATGCCATCATTAAAGAAAAACTGCAAGCATAAGTGAGGCACAACTGCACAAGACAGCTGTCAAAGAATATTCCACCTTGTCAAATAATCCAACAATGATTACAGGTAGCGCTGTGAAGATAACATTATATAGTGACTGAAACCAATCATCATAGAATCTCTGACCAGAAAATCCAGTTTGAAACGTAAACCAGAACTGAGTAAGAGTGAAAGTGAGATTCTTGTAAAAGAAGTATAAGACAACCTGCAATAGCCGATTTTCAAGTGTTACAACATGAAAAACAAGTATATAGGACAGTATACATTGCAGTTTAGAAAACATAATACCTTGCAAACTCGCAAATAAGACCATCTGCCATGAACAAGAAGCAAGTCAGCAAGGTAACGAAACTGTGCAATGGCAAAATCGCTGGCCATCACAGCTTGCATTCCCTCCAACCCACTTATGCCAACACCAACATGAGCAGCTTGAATCATGCTAACATCATTGGCTCCATCACCAATACTAAGTGTTATTTTGTGAGCACCTTTCTTAACCATACTTGTGACCTGTAAGGAGGTATAGTGAAAAAATAATGGAAAATTTTTCATAAGCTAAACAACTCTCAAATTACACTAGGCAGAGTTACTTTAAGCCCTTCTACCCACTAAGCCAAAAATTAAATAAAAGATTAACTTCCCACACAATATAAACTCTACGAATCAAGATGAATTACAGAAATAAGTAATTAAGTTATTGACACGATATAAGCTTTACCTGTGCTTTTTGTAAAGGAGAAACTCGACAGCAAACAACAGAATGACAATTCAAACTAATGTTGAGCAGCATCACTCTTAAACTTGGATCCAATGCATACATTAGACATTTTCCATCAATTACAAGAGCTAATTTTGGTCCAGATAGGGAGTGAAAATAGTTCTGTGCTTCCTCAAGGCATTTCTTCAGCTCTTTTTTCACTTCTTCTTTGATAAACCGTGCAATCTCCACTTGGTCACCCTAAAAAAAATACAAATAATGTAATTATTACAGTCAGAAACACTAAGAACTGTGAACACAACATGGTAGCAAGAAGGGCCAGTACCCTGTCTTCAACTTCTCTGATTGCATCAGTTTCTGAACTAATCACAAATTGCTTCATCTCATTGTTTATCAAGTTGCATGCTGCAGCACAAGGGTGGAAGCATCATATAATATGAACTCAGACTAACAAAAGCATAACAAGAAGACAAAGAAAAATACTGGTCGACTTCTAAACAGTCTCACCATAGGCTATGTTTATAGCTGTTTCAATCTTGTCCCCTGTAAGAACCCAAATTTTAATACCAGCTCTTTGAAGAGTCTCTATGCAAGCAGGTACACCCTCTTGAAGCTTGTCTTCTATGGCTGTGCTACCAATTAAAATGAGATCATTTTCGATAAGTTCTGCCACCTGTATCATTTCAAGATGCATAAGAGTATAATAATTCACATTACTATCTTTGCAAAATGAAATTCAAACATTCATTACTCAAGTTTTGTGCTACCAATTAATTCTCGTTTCTAGCAATGTAATTATTAGATCGTTTTTGTAGACTTAAATAATCAATAGCTGTTATAAATCATAATTGACTGTCACATTAATTGTTATGTAAAAACTAGTTTTCAAAGACAATCTTTTTCATTGCCTTTTTGTAGATGAAGTACAAAAAGTTTATGTAGACATTTGTAATAGTTAATTTTGTATATAAACTAATCAATTGTCATGGATAAAAGAGAAGAAAGGAAGTTCACTGAAAAATATTCTAGCTTTTCTAATCCAAATTTTCAAAATATGTTGTTTATCATAAAATCCCCTTTTTCTTTGTTAAGATTACAATATAGGACTGCAATTTAAACTATTAAACACCTTTGAATTGCACTAACATTTACTTACTATGAATCGGAATATGATCCTGAAAATAAAACACAGCCAAACATGCTCTATGCAGCTTCAAACAAACTCGTTGCAATAAGGTAGCGAATTGTGGATCTAAGAATAATAAAAATAGCATAATTGTTTTCCTAATCATCATATCAGGATTCAACTCTCATTGCAGCATTTAACTTATCAAGCAATGATAAGCATCAAATTATCATTTATCACTTCAGAAAAATACGGGAATTGAAGATAAGTTGAGATGGAAGAGATGTGTTCCTAAATTTTCAGACAGTTGTGGTTTAGCGTTTTGTAGTTTTTGAACAGAGTGCATGTGGAAAGTGCAACATTTATTGGTAGTTAAAAACTAGCTCAAGAAGTGCCTTGAAGAACCACAGGGCCATTTTCCCTTTACCGAACCAAAATTAGCAACTGATGGGAAATATCAAACGTATTCACTGTCAAAGTTTAAGAGTAATGCTACGGGATTAGTTGTTTCTTTCTAATATTTTTGCTACAACGAAGTTTTGTTGCAAGGACAGGTATTGAACTAAAATCAATAAGAAAAGTGCATTATGCTGCTCAATATAGGAAACAGTAACAAAATTGCTACCCTTTGGGGTTGTTAGAAAGGTATTAAAAATATAGGTAGTAATTAGTTGCATTGGAAAATTGCTATACCTTGTAACTCTAAGTTGTACTTATTTTTGTACTTAGGACTCTAGTTTGGGTGGTGGATCTTTCTTTCCTCTTCCCTCTACTCATTATATTATGATTGTATCAATACAAATGAGAACATATGAGAGGAGTGATTAAGCTCTATCTATATCCTCTCCTTCATTTATCTCAACTTCGTATCAATGAGTTAATCCTACTTTGCTGGTTTCAGTCTTTGGCAAAATACCCGTTGTCTGCCATGGCCATTTTTTCCTGTAACCACCGGATATGGAGAGTATCTCTCCAGGAGACAGTCAACCCTGCCAGCCTCAAAAGTTAAAACTGCTCCACGCACCACCACACACACACTCTTGTTTGCTGCTGCTAGGCAGCTAACATCCACACGTTGCCTTCCTCTCATCGGAGCCTTCCTTTCATCATAGCGATGCCTTGCCTCCTCCATGGGGCTCACCAAACCTCCTCCTCTCAATTTTAACTGCTGGTTATTCATTTCCACTGTAGTTGAAGGTCAAACCTAGGCTTCTCCTTTTGTTTCTTATTGGCTGTTTTCTTCTGTCAATGAAAATGTCTTTTCAACCTATTGTCCCCTTCTCTAGAACTCCTACGATTACATCTGAAAAACTGAATAGGAAACATTATCTCTCTTAATCTGCCTGAAATGAACTTGGTTTGATTTTAAGCTTTGTGCTTTACTGTGGCAATATGTGGAATCCAAATTATTGGGTAATCTTAGATCGTTTAAAACATGCAACCCTTTTTGAAAAAGGACTCGAAATATATTTGCTATCAATAGGCTTGCCTCTCTTAAACATGTCTTTTATATGTGAAGCCCAATTTATTGTTGAAGAATTAAAGATGTTCTTGGAGGCTGTCATTAGAGAAGATCAAGAAGAAGCTGGACAAATTATATATGGTGATTATCCTCTGTGCCATACATCCTGATAAGATATAATATGATAGGTTATAATGGATAAATATGTATTCACATCAACCAATGTCATGTACAACCAGTAACTGGGAGCATAATCCCCCTCCACAGGATCAAGGTTCCTATCTATACAATTGATATAAAAAACTCACCCATCTACCAGACCCCCCTTGCCTTCTTATAAAGGCAACCCACTTCTAACTACCCAACAACAATTAATTCCTAAACTGAACAATTAATTCTTCAACTGTTTTCTCTCTCCTGCACACCTATTACCCATTATAACCTATCATATTATATCCTATCACATCCAGACTTTGAAAATGTTAGAGATCAACTTTTAACATATCATGAAGTCCCATCCATATAAAGCTTGACAATACGACTCCTTCGGCTCAAACACTTCAAAGCAAGAATGTTCAAGAATAAGCAAAATCTTTTGTCATGGTTTCCACACGTCAAAGAGGACACAATGTTAGAGGAGAACGTGATGGTATGGGACATCACATATGGTAAAGGAATTGGTCACATTCAAGAGAATTGTTTCCTTTTGCACAACTTTCCAGATAAGATACCCAATATCTCTAAAGCTGAAATTGTTGAACCCAAATTCTCTAATGAATACTAAGAATATTTGAGGTTGAAATCTAATAATAGCACAATGATATGCAAATCCCAACAACTTGCATCTCACAATCCGTGGAAAGTCAAAGCCCATGGATAATTGATCCAAGAGCTTTTGATCATATTTAGGGTAATACCTCTTTGATCTCATCCCTTTCCCTTCCAAAAAGCTCATTTCATAACTTTAGCCAATGATTCTAAATTTCCTCCCAGGGAGTCGGCTAAGTTCCTATTCTTCTCCCTTAAATCTAAAATTTGTTCTTTTTGTTCTTACTTGTCATTTCAATCTTATTTCTTCGAGTCAATTAACCAAGTCTTAATATTGTTCAGTAACCTTTAATATCAATTACTTTGATATACAAGAACATGGTACCAGGTGACTGATTCGAGAAAGACATGATATTGACTAGGCAAGATCCCCCACTGATAGACTGTTAGGTTCTTTTAGGCAAAGAGCCGTAACAGATAATTCTCCCTTCTCACAACACTCAAACAATAACCAAGAAATTAAATGTATGAGTATTTCATTAATTCTGTAAAGTATGTCAAACAGAATGACAAGTAAGAATCCCAAGGAAGCCTCCCTTCCTCCACTGGAAAATGTCCAGTCTAATTTCCCAAGAGTAAAATATCTCATAAAAAAAACCCCTCTCCACTTATTCTACTACTATTTATACTATCTTGCCCCTCTAACAAACTTCTAACAGACTTTCCCTCTTAACTTCCTTTCCCGCCTTTATTTCTCCTAACATACACTTTTATTCCTCTATCATAGACACTACTACAAAATATTATGTGTTTCTTGGAAGAAATATTGTTTCTTGGAAAGTAAGAAACACAAACGTGGTTTTTTAATCAACCAGTGAAGCTGAATATATGGCAATGACTTCTCTTACTAGTGAACTTGTATGGGTGAACCAATTCCTACATGACCTTAACTTCAAAAAAATTCAACAAACGAAGATGTGTTGTGATAATCAAGTTGTTCTCTGCATTGCTACCAATCTAATATTCCATAAGTGGACTAAACACAGAAATAAACAGTCATTTTATTCGAGAAAAGTTTTGTCCAAGGAAATTTTTACCAAGTTTCTTGAATCCAATGATCAACTTGCACATGTTAACAAAGTCCTTAAGGGGACATCAAGTTGAATTTATTTGTTCCAAACTTGTTCCATACAATTTGTGTACTCGAGCATGAGGGGAGTATTAGAATAGGTAGTATTACATATAGGTAGTAAGTAGTTGTATAAGAAAATTGCTATATGTTGTACCTGAGTCATACCTATCTCTGTACCTAGGACTGTTTTGCTTTTGATGTTTTCTCTCCCTATACTTACTGCATTAGAATTCTATCAATATAAGTATGAGAACATATGAGAGGAGTGATGAAGCTCCCTCAAATATAGTCTCTTCTATTTATCTCAACTGAGATAATCTAATCTAAAAAAGTATAAATTGCTTGATGCTAAATATTCACATAAAAGCTGCCAATGATAGTAGGATAAACTGAACCTCATCCAATTTCTTTTCACGATCATTTAGAGAAGACTTGGCCTGGATAAACTTCTCATTCCAGCTTTCATAAACATCAGGATGTAATTCTTTGTAGGCTAAGCATAATGTGCGAAGTCCGGCAGATCCAAATTGTTCCAAATGCTCCCTGGTGACTTTCTTGATACTATTACTAATATTAGCCAGTCTCTCATAGATTACAGTATCAGCACCCTGCGAAGAGCAAGATGCATGGAAGATGTCATTTTACCCAAATCCAAACAAAATTGTTCTACTGTGGGGAAGCAGACTAGCTTCTATTACCTTACAGTATAGGACAAGCCTTCCATCAGGATAACGGCATACAACAGACTGACGCTTCCTTGTACTATTAATGGAAAAAAGATTACAAGTATGCTCAGAAGATGTTAAAACTTAATACCTGAAGTTAAAATTGTACCCATAGGGATGATAGTTACCTATTAAACTCAAGCACGTTTAAAATCTCATAAGACACGTCTTGAATTTTGCCCATTTTCTCAACATGAGATTCACGAACATATATCATTGTAGGTGTGCGTCTAACAAAAAATCAAAGTATTCACATCAACTCAAACTGAAATAATCTTAAATTTAGCACTTCCAATAAAAAAAATCAGTAACAGAAGCTACAAAAGAATGACATATTTGGCTTTGTTAAGGATTCATGCATTCCTATTGCCACTTTGTCTCTAATGATAGTAGAAAAATTGCCACTTTGTCTTATTATAGTATGAGATAGAAATATCCACACTTGTCTTTAATGATAGTAGAAATTTTATTATTTTAAAAAAATTGAGGCTTACAGAGATGAAAGAAGCTAAGATGTACTCTAATAAAAGAACAAATCTAACAGAAAAATGCAAAATATCATGGAGTGTTAATTTCATTTCTTCAATAACAAGCCTATTCAGATTCATTCCATGCATAATTGTTGATAACACTACAAATTGAATCATTATGTTTGTTTCGCAGAAAAATAACTAAACAAGAAGGTATAACACTGACAAAATTTGAGTCCCACAATGCAGTATTGGTCAAACTAACTACATTTCCTAGATATATAGTACAAATATTCAACAGAAAACCTGTTCTACACAAGAACTTCTCTTTTATATTCCAAATTAAGTATCAATTAATAGCACGCATGCCCTCTACCCACTCTGAATTATATGTTATCCAATATGCCTACTACCAATTAATAGCAGTACACAAGAAACTCAGATGTACAAAAAAGTTCAACAGTACTCTGAATTATATGTTATCCTATATTCCTACTATGTATCAATACATAGTAGCACGCCTGCGCTCTACCTACTCCGAATTATATGTTCTCATATATCCACTACCAATAATTAATAGCATATGAGTACCATGCAAAGTCCAACTATGGAGTTTTCCTTTCACATACAACCCAACCTGTGCTATTAGAGTATATAATTGCCTAATTCCTGTGAATTACACCTTTTAATATCTTCTAGATTGATCTATTAGCATAACTTACTGAATAAAGTTCACCTAGCTGTTGAACTATCTACAAGTAGCTTGCTCTCGACTATTGCATTGAGTTTTTACATTTTAAGATCAGTACACATTCTGTCCTCCTAATATGCTCCGAGCTTACGATCTTAAACTTACAAACAACACATTGAGAAAGTTAGATTATATGATATATCATATAAAGGACGTTCAGTAAACTTAACCAAAAGAACACCTCGCATTCTATGAAATTCTTTATTACTTTTTCCAACCATTTTCCCCAACTAAAGAGAAGCAGATTCAGGTCTTCAAACTGTCTCTTGGTGCTCAATGTACTCACTCTGTAACAAGTCTTCTTATATAGCTTCTTAAGCAAACGACCATAATATATAAAGATTTTTTCACTGAGAGCAGGCATCAACATTCATGCGCTGTTCCCATCAAATTACGTTTGCTACACACTTACATATGCATACAATCCTCGTTTTGTTTGTAACCAAGCATTAATGAGCAATTAATGATGCCACATATTTCTCAACATCAAGCCAACCAGCATGAGTCCAAAGGCTCATTTGCAGCTTTATCTGCTTTTCTCTCTCTGATTCTGCTCCTATTGGGTCAGTTAACAATAAGTAAAAGGACTCTACAATTTTGAAAGCCAATCATTTACAATAGTATCAATAAAATCTTATTGCCAACAATGTCTCATCTGAAGTATAAAAGTACAAGAATTTGAAGCCTCATTGCTGACATTACTGGACAACTGCAACTCAAAAACATCATGCAGATCTAGTCATAGGGGAGTTTCTTCTGAAAAGCTGGACAGAAGATCTTCATCCTAATGATGGGGGGGTACCACCAAAGAGGTTGTAGTTCAATTGACACAATTCTAATTCTTTAAAAGTTGGCCCTAGTTAACGTTGAAGGTTCAATACTTCACCTTGTTCCAGTCCAGCCCCTAGACAGATGGCTGGATGCTTGTGCAGATAAATAGAACATGATCAAGAAGTTTGAACATCGAACCTGTAGAAAAAGAAACCAAAGTGTTTTGCAGCAATAACCAAAGCAGCCTCATCAGGTGATGCAGCTTGATATCTGATCTTTTCAGGGGATTCATCACCCTCTGGCAGCACAGTATGGCATATAGCAAGGCATCTGAAGAATTCCTACAAAGCAATAAATAAGGTAATATTACTTTGCCTTACATAACATACAAAACCATGTATGCTATGACCATAATGTAAAGAAAGCAACTCGAGCACCTAACTGATAAACAACATTTAGAAAAAGAGAAACAAGGATAAACAATCTGAATATACTTCTCTTCCAAATTGAAGAATCTACACTACACCAACTGTACATGAAAGTTAGGTTCATTAATTAAGATCTGATTATTACCTAGGAAGCATGGCCACGATGCAGGATATTTATACATCAATATGATATATCATAATACAAAGTTTTAACAAGTATAGGTCACAGCACAGCTATAGTAGAACACATAAAATTGGAATACATACATTTCGAAGAAGTAACAGACTTCTAGCAATCCAAAAGCATCACCAAGATGTTGCACGAAACTCATGAGAGATGGTTAGGGTTAAGATTTCTTATATAGCTTCTAAATACTACTTTCCAGGACACATTTCAAGCATAAAATTTAATATCAACATAATACAAGCTAAGATTTAAGCCAACTAACATGCATTATAAATGAAATATGTTAAAAAGAATATATATATATATATATATATATATATATATATATATATATATATATATATTANAATATATATATATATATATATATATTATAAACTTTTTAGTTAGCAAGAATCAAACTTTTTGTTGAAAATAGAAATTTTAGAAGATAAGAACTTCTTCAATGCTTATTTTTCCATGTTGTCTTAAATGTTATCTTATAAACTATATGGCATCACCTACCTTTGTAATAATCTGGAATATATAAATAAATCCATTTTGCTTGGTGGAATAACCACTCAAGCTTATATAGAAAATAGTTGTTTCTTTATATAAAGCAAACACCCAGAATTGAATTGAGAGAATGAACATATACTGTGCATCAGCAGAGTCATGTTTACCTTGCAAACGTCAGGATTAGGCTCATTCCTCCAAGCTCCCCTCATAAGCCTATCATCATCAAAATTAAAACCTCTCTCTTGCACTGCTTTGGAAGAAATATTTTCCTGTGGAGAAAATACTATATAGCTGCAATCCCTTCTTATAGACAAATTAGTTTTAAACAATGCATAAATATTTTACCTCAATCTTCATTCCATTGCGCTCTGCTAATCCTCTCTCAATTTCAGTCACACCATTGCCATAGACCTCTCCTCCAATCGAACACTTGAAGAACTCCATTAAATTTCTTGTTAGAGTTCCAGTTTTATCAGAGAAAATGTATTCCACCTACTCATCAGAAAATAAAAGTTAGAGTTAAAATTTCTTGTTTCTTCTACTTAGATTTTTTTCATTCCCATTTTGAACATAGTTTGTATATTGTTTCACTTCCTTTCTAATCTATTAGTTATAAGTTCATTCAAGGAAAAGTGAGGACCCAACTTACCTGCCCAAGTTCTTCATTCAAATTTGAAGTTCTGGCTAATGCAGGTGTATTTGTTTCAGCATGGTACATGGACAAGTCTTTGTTGATAAATTGAGTTGATTGAATAAATTTTATCATCTGGTACAATAACAAAAATAAATTATATTTTCTATTTAGAAACAAAACATTGGCATTTATAGGGAATAAAGGAGTGAGACACAAACCTCTATGGACACATAAAGTGAAATGGGAATGATTGTTGAGTATAGTGTTATTAGGGTAAACATTGTCAGAATAAAAACCTGACAGCACAAAAATAGAATTAACAACAATAATTTAACAGAGAAATAAAGAAAAAAGGAGGATGGATATTTATCTTAATGGAGAAAGTTAACAGTACCAAGAATCTATTTCTGGGGTTGAACTGTGCCGAGCCCTCTTCTGATGAATCAAGATGTAAGTAAAAATATTTTTTATTTACGAAGATAGCACTGCAGTTTAAACAAATATAATAATGTCATTTAGAAATAAACTTTTACACAATAAGGGATACCTGTTACTTTTATTTTTCCATCATACTGTAGCGATTTAATTAAAAAAGACATAAAAAAAAGTCCTAAATTTCCCACACTAGAACAAATTTTTTATTAATGATTATTTGCTTTTATAGAACTATCTCAGAATTTACATTATTTTAATAAAACTTTATACACATAATCTAAAGCTTGTGTGACACGTAGTGCCAATCAGAACCCTAGTATTGATATTGATAACAATAATAAATACACTAAATCTAATGCTAGTTTCAATAAAATCAATCCCATTTTCATATAACAGTGTACTTGAACATTAAAGCCCAGTAAAAGTTAGCAAGAGACTACAAGGGGTCCAGCAATTGTTTAACTCACCTGCCTATGGCTCCAATGAAACACATCATGAAGAGAGTTGCAAATAAAGTTAGTATGAGCTTGTCAAGCTTTCTCTCCAATGTACTTCTTTTGGAAGGAACATTCATTGTATTCATCATCACCTGCAATGTTTTTCAAACATCACTAAAACACAATCCATGAACAGTCACAGTAGGAAAATCAAAGCCAAACACAAGACGAACTTAATTTATACTTTCAAAAATGAATGGAAAAGAAAATGAAATAAACCCACACGTCAAGGTTATATATTACATTCTTAAAGTATGTTTGGTTTGTTTTTGTTTTCATTTTCATTTTCATTTACTGTGGATTGTTATTTTCCAAAAATAAATAAATAAATTCATAGTCATTAAAATAAAACTTATGTTCAGTTATTTTCTTCTTTTTCCATATCTCTAGACCCCAAGGATAATTGTTTGGAATTATATCAGTTAAATATGCAAGATACTAATGAATAATTATAATTATGAATACATAACAACAGCAAAAACAGTACCATTTTGTCTCTAGCAACATCTTAACAATCAATTCATTACAAGCATATTAAACGTCTTTATAAAAAAAGCAAGACCAAGGGCCGTGATATTGAGAGTATTATCAGTTTATCATTAGGCATCATTTTATACAGCCAACCTTTGTTTCATGTCCAGTAAATATAACAACCCCAACAATATACTCTGTATTCCTGAGACTGCAACCCTGAAAAGTCAAGATGCTCCAAGTCAATTTAAGTTTTACAAACTAAGTAAACAAAATATCAGCACATGGTACAGAGCATATAGTTGTTTTAGACTAGTTATATTCAGTTTCTGTAATGTAATTCTGTTGTAAGACTGTTATAATTATCACAGCAGGCATCTGTTAGGATCTAAAGCTTCTGCCTTATAAATTTACAAATGTAAGCAGAAGCTTCCACTGTACAATAGACTCTTATCAGAAGTACAAAATATTTTTTCAACTTCCCTTCTATCTGTCAAAATCCAAATACCAATACAACAAAAAGAGAACTCTAGTTCATGAATAAACACAGTTCGGCAGATAAAAACAGATGGGGAGGGGCAACAAACCCGCAATAAAATTTGATTTGGACTGAGAGGCAATGTTTGCTTTTGGGTTATAAGATTTCCAGTAAAGGTATACAATGAATTGTTTGGTTGTTCACATTGAATTTCACCTGCAAATAGTTTGAAAACTTGTAAGAATTTGAAACAAATAAGAGATCAAATTTAGCATATTGATTGGAATTGACATTCATAAACCTGGTAATAAATAAGTCTTGCACAGACTTCAGAATAATATTCCCTAAAAATATGAAATTAAAGACAAACGTTTCAAAGAGCCATAAAATGTTCTATGAAGAACAATTTATTAAGAGTTTTTATTTAAAAAATAATAATTCCACCAGTTGAGGAACAGTTAACCACATGAAATACATCAATTTAACAGATTATTTTAATAAAACTCTATACCCTGAACATAAGTTTAGAGTTTGTTGAGAGAACACCAAAATTATGTTATTTCAATAATCAATTATAATAACAATCAGATTCTGTTTGGACAAGTTTGCTGAAAAGTGATTCTAACATAATTTTGTATGAGTCAACAAATAGTATCAGCTTTTACACAAGAAAAAGTGTGTACGAATCGGAAATGGGAGAAATCTAAACGAAAATAACATAAGCAACAAAAATTCATATTCATAAACACAGCATGATTTTCAGGAAAAAATAAAATAAAAACGTGTTTACTAAATTCCATCTGATTTCCAAACATCCAGCTTACTTTTCATAAAAAACCATCTTATTGAAGGAAAAAAAGAAAGCTTTCCCAAGAATGCTGCTTTCTTAGGATGTATTTGGGACAGCTGTACAAATTAGATTATTTCAATAATCAAGTATATGTACGGTCAATTATAATCAACGTCTGATTTTCTGTTGGGTATGTTTGCTAAACATAGTTTTTAAGATAAGACAGCTGAAACATAATTTTCTTTTTACTAAAACAGCTGAAATGTTACATGCTCTTGGTATCTTCCTACTTCTCCTGTTGAGATCCCCAAATTGAACACTTCCATTTATTTGGAGCATGAGATATGACATGATTAATTACTAAATTATACAATACTTTTACTCAGCCTGAATGATCAACGGATCTAACGCTGGAGAATAAAGAATGTTATCTGAATAAACAGCCCGAGAACTATATCATAAATTTATAGCAACTTTCAGGGACGTGGAAACACAAGAAAATTGGAGAAAAAAAACAGATATCCACAGTAAGGGCATTTTCAAGTAACTGCAATATATATTTAAGATGCTAATAATACACAACTTCATCCATAAACAGAAAATAAAGCCAATTGAAAACATCATTTACATTTCTGTAGTCATCTAACTTATTAAATAAGGAATCACATCTTAAGAAACAAACACATGTAACTGGTTCATGAAAACAAAATACAATGGAATGAGTAAATGTTAATCATTATTATCATTACGCAGATAAATGAACCAAAATTATGATAATGCACAAAACTTATTATATTCTAAAGCTTAAAATTAAAAAAAAAAAAATTGCTGAGATGTTGTCATCATGTTTCCTAGAACTTAAACAACCAAGTGCAGTAATGTAAAATAACTCTTAAGCAAATTAAATAAACGTTAGAAGAACTGTATAAAACTATAATATGTAGATAAAACAATGAAAAAAATGAAACCTTTAAACTCAGATGCCTTCTCTGGAGTCACATAATCCCAAGTCTTTTCCAATGCTTTCCTAATCTTCAAATTGGTTTCCCCATCCAAGTTAGCAGTCTGCCACTCAAACCCAATGTTAATTAAAGTCAAACACTGTTTAAAGAGCTTTGAGAAAACACTCCTACCAGATTGAAAAATATAAACAATAAACCTCAATGTAGCAGACACCATCTGCGTTGGTGCTTGCCAAGAAAAGCAGATCTGCAGGAAAGAATCCATCCTGTTTAACCTGCAACAGAACATAACTCATAGTAAGTGTTAGAGACCCATTGCTAGACTTCAACCTTGAGGACCCGTTGCTAGACTTCAACCTTGACGACAAGGGCATATAGTCAATGTACTTATTTATATTAATCTCATAGTCAATGTTAGAGACCCATTGCTACATACATATATCAATGTACTTATTTCTATTAATCTCAGTTTTTACCTCAATAAGGTATCGAGAGCTTACTGATCTGTTTTTACTTCAATACGTACTAGTTCAAAATATAGACATGTCAAAATAAACTAGAACAGAAATGCATAGCACACTCACCTTCACAATGTCTCCAACCTGCAACTTCTTCCAGGATATAGACTGCCACTTTTGATCTTGCAAAACGTCTATACCATTGTTATTTATGGACATGTCATTTTGAAAACGCTTCTGTTATACAAAATATAAAAGATGGAAAAAGAAATTAGGAAGTAGAATACACAAATCTATAAGCATAATCTAATATGTGAGAAAATCTGAAGAATTTCCAACTAAGGATTCCAACAAGAGAAATAGAAATAAAGATAAAACGAGGAGTTAACAAAATATGTATAGTAATTCACGAACTTGTAAGCACATACTGATAAAATGCTTATTTCTACATTCTGCAAAAAGAAATATATATATATATATATATATATATATATATATATTCAACATTTTTCTATAGCCTCCCCTGCCAGAATTTTCCATAAAATTTCTGTCTGAAAGGCTAAATGGTAACCACCTAAACCTAAACAGCCTAAGTAAAGTGTGTTAAAAAAGCAATGTATTAATGACAGCAAAAAAAATACTCGTACCCAATCTTCAAAAGCTTCCTTGATAAGAGAGACAAGAAGCACCAGAGACAGAGGAAGCACATTTGTTATTGGAGACACCGGACTACAACATCAGAAAATTCATAGTGAGACTTGCCATTACTTCTTTTCAATGATATATAAAATTAGACGAAAAATATATATGAAAAGCATTCGGCATGAATGAAGTACATACTACTGACAATAATCTTCAAAATACTAGCAGGGGGAGGGGCTTAAAATTATTCTCAGTTCTTTCAAAAATACATTTTGCTTCGCAGTTGAAGAGCAAAGGAGTCCAGTAAAAAGTGGAGACCAAAACAGGGATAACACCATTATGTTTTTACAGATTAATACAAAGCAAAAAGTAATGATATAATGCAAAATCTAAGAAAAACACAATAAATGATATCATACCAATTTGATTATAAGTTCATTGTAATACTGAGAGTAATTAACCAATTAATGAATTCATATAAAAATTGTTAGGCTTAGAGTGGGACTGCACTAATAGAATGCCAGGTTATCAAGTCAGTCAAGCTAAACCTAGTAGGTTGGTTCCCTTTGAAGGTTTGCTTCTTCAAAGTGGCTATAAACTGTAACTTTGTTGTCTATGTTTGATATTACTGTTCCCATTGAATTCCAGATTTTCTTTCTCACCCCAAATACCATTGATTTCTATCTTCTATTGTTTGTTTTGTTATGATGTATGAATAAAGTAACAAATAGATATAGCATAGCAACCATAATGACATCCATAGAACAATAATATTGAATGGGAAAATTACATCCCAGCAAAATAAATATAATTCCTTTGTTTGAAATTTCAAACATAAAATATCTCTTCGAGAGAGCATTTCAATAATCCCAACTTAATTTACTTTATCAATCAAAATACTCAAGCAAAGCAGAGAATATTCCATTAATGAGAAAAAACAGAAACTAAAGCACCAAAATTGTAGCCGTTTCTAGCTTAATTTTCCCCAAGCTCAAATTTCAGTGTCATAGTCTCACAAGTATTCTTCATAACTTTATAATAGCCACGAATCGGACCCTTATTCATTATTCATGTGTGTTAGAATAAATAATCTTTAATAGGATTTACTTTTAGGTGTTGTGTACTTTCTGCTGGAGCTAGTACCTAGAAGTATCTTTTAGAATTATCTTCTATTTCCTCTCATTCATTATATCTGATGTATCCCAAGCTAGTAATACATTAAATATCCTTCCAACAACTTTCATTATTGCTTTTAATATCCAACTAACAACACTCCCCCTCATGCTAGTGAATGGATATCTATCATTTTCAACTTGCATGTGAGATCATGAAATTGCTTAGTGGGAAGACCTTTTGTAAATAGATCTGCTAACTGAAGTCCAGATGTGATGTAGGATGTAGTGATAAGGTCATTATCCAGTTCCTCTATAATAAAGTGTCGATCTATCTCTATGTGTTTGGTCCTATCATGCTGAACTGGATTATGAGCAATGCTAATAGCTAACTTTTTATCACAACAAAGGATCATTGGTTCTTCACATGCCACTTTAAGATTATTTAGAATAATTCTCATCCATAACAATTCACACACCCATTCAGACTCTGCACTAGACCTTGCAAAAACATTTTGTTTCTTACTTCTCCATTTCACCAAATTTCCACCCAAGAACATGCATAATCTGCATCAATATACACTTCCATTTTTAATATTTCATCTCTCTTAAACAATAATCCCCTTCCTAGACTTGTCTTCAAATATGGAAGGATTTTGTTTACCGTTAGTAAATGTCTCTCCCTTGGATCATGGATGAACAGACTAACAACACTCACAATATAGGCTATGTCTAGTCTAGTGTGAACTAAGTAAACGAGCTTCCCAACAAGTCTTTGATATTGGCCTTTATTTACAGTAGAATTGCCTTCATCGCTTCCTATTCTATGGTTTTCAACTATATAAACTCCAGTGGTCTTGCAATCAATCATACTTGTTTCTTTACGAAGATCAATAACATACTTTTTATGGGAGATAAAGCTGCCATTTGTCGAGTAACCTACTTCTATCCCAAGGAAGTACTTCAATTTTCCTAGATACTTCATTTCAAATTGGGTGGTAAGCTTTTCTTTCAAGACTTGTATCTCATGTTCATCATCTCCTGCAACAATCATATGATTAACAAACACCAAGAGTAGTGTAAGTTTACCTTTTGGGGAATTCTTGATGATGAATAAGGGATGGTCACCTTGACTCTACCAATACCCCATGGAGATCATAACCTGACTGAGTCTACCTAACCAAGCACGAGGTGACTGCTTGAGCCCATACAAAGCTTTCCTCAACATACATACTTTATTCCCTTCTTCAATAGGCCTAAAACCTGGTGGAATTTCCATATAGACTTCTTCCTCTAATTGTCTATTTCAAGAAAACATCTTTCACATCAAATTGTTGCAATTCCCAACCAAAATAAGTTGTCAATGAGAGAATGATTCTAATTGTATTCATCTTTGCCATTGGAGCAAATGTCTCCTCATAATCATCACGATAAGTCTGAGTAAATCCTTTAGCAACTAATCTTGCTTTGTAATGTTGTAATGTGCCAATAGATTTATACTTTACATTATAAAATGCATCCTACTACCTTTTTATCCAGTGGCCTGTTAACAATTTCCCACGTTTGGTTCTTTTCGAAGGCACTCATCTCTTCATTCAAGGCCCGAACCCAATTCTCATCCTTCAATGCTTGAACTGAAGTAGGGACTCTAATTGCATCAATGGTAGAGAGGAAACTCTGGAGTTGCATAGATAGGTTTTTAGTGGTCATAGAGTGAGAAATACGATACTTGGTACAAGACCGAGTTTTTTTGCTCAAAACAATGGCCAAGTCATCAAGGCTAGGTTCACAGTTAATATTCAAGGAATTTTCCAAAGGTTCAACTGTGTCAGAAGAAGGAGCACATACCTCTGGGTCAGATGATTGGTGTGGTTCTTAGGTTAGGTTGCTTTTGTTTTAGGATAGAAGAGAGAAAAAGCCAAAGAGATATTACCATAAATATGATCAGATGCACTTAAGTCAACAATCCATGGATTGAATCTCCATAGATTGTGAAATGCACAATGTTGACAAATTAGAAGTTGTAGATGATTGGGCTAGGTAGTTGGATTTCAACCTTAAGTATTCCTGATATTCTTCATTAGAGAACTTTTACATGAATCCTTCTGATTTGGAAATATTGGCTGTATTGTCAGGAAAGCCATGTAATGAGTAACAATTTTCTTGAGTGTGGTCCATTAATTTACAATATGTGCATTGACAACAACTTCTACCACCGTGAGTTATTAGAAGGTTCTAGAGATCTCATGTAATTATTACTTAAGGATTTGAGTTCTCCATATATAGAAGTTGATGTACTGTTTCAAATGAATCAATTGAATAAAATCTTCTTTCTTTCATATTAATGCTTTCAAGTGCCCCCAAGATAACGACTACTTTATGAAGATAAGGCAATACCCAAATTTTTGGATATTGTGACACTGATTAAGCTAGTTCACCTGTGGATAGACACTCTACTACAGGATATTATGTTTTTGCTTGGAGGAAATAGTCTCTTTGAAAAGTACGAAGCAAATCGTTGTTGCCCCATCTTTTTATGAAGCTAAGTATAAAGCAATGGTATATCTTGCCTGAGCTTATACGGATAAAAATGTTCTTATAAGAATTAGATTTTTGTAACATTTAAGCAATGAAGATTTATTGTGATAACCAGGTCCACATTGCTTCCAATCCAATGATCTATGAGAGAACTAAAGACTTTGAAATTTATTGCCATTTTAATCGAGGAAAGTTGTTGTCCAAAGAAACATGCACCGAGTTTGTCGGATCAAATGATCAACTTGCAGATGTATTCACAAAATACTTGACAGGTCTCCAGATCAAATGTATTTGTTTCTAACTTGATACATACAATTTGTATGCTTTAGATTGAGGGATAGTGTAAGAATAAATAATCTTTAATAGGATTTATTGGTAGGTGTTATGTACTTTGTATTGGACCTAGTTCCTAGAATTATCTTTTAGAATTCTCTTCTATTTCCTCTCATGCATTCTATCTGATATTGTATCTGATGTATCCCAAACTATTACACATACGAAACCCTAAGAGAGGGAGAGATACACTCTCAAATTCACTCTAATTGCTCTGTATTTTTCACAAGTAGGCCCAGTGCCTTATAAAGTACCCTAATCCTCATATTACCTGATTATCCTTCAAAGCACCAGTTTCTATAATGAATGAACCAAAGAAAATCCAAAGAAGAACCCATTAAATCCTAAACCGTTCGCCATCCAATCATATCAACCACACATGCCAAAACAAATTCCCATATCAAGATCAATCAGGAAGATTAAGATACAATGCAGCCACAGTATATCTTATACAAATACTAAAATGTACCTAAATAATTAGGAACTACTACCAACTTCACCATACAAATAACAAACAACTGAACAATTTTTCATGAAAAATTAAGATGGAACTGCACTACTCAAGTGAGTATTGATAGCTCACTTATCTCAATAATGCTCACAAGTTGCAACATAACCTCACTGTTAAGTTGACTAGCAAATACATACCTAATAGGTGTGGTTGACAAAATTGAGATTGTAAGAAAGTAGAGATTAGCCACTCGTCTGAACTGCAGGACAAACAGGAACTGTTATCTTCTATGTAACATAAAAATATTGATAATGTGACAAAGGATACACACTTACAAACATCATTTAACATCAGTCAATGATATACAAAATTACACAACTGATTATGCCATATTAATTTGAGCAAAAGTTGTCATCACACATATTGTAGAGCACAAGAACCATCTCATTTTTCTTTATGAGCAAATAAATCAAAAAGGAAATTTGATTGCAGCCACATGAATTTGTAACGTACACTAATGGTGAGAAAGCTGATATAGGAAGAAATAGAATGATTGAAAAATATAATCAGCAGCAGTGTAAAGAATGCCTCATATGTCTTGAGGTTGGTCCTACATACAAACATCAATATAAACATACCAACCAGACATATTAAATGTTCATGATCAGACCCAAAATAGAAATCTGTCTGAGGTTCAAATAGAAAGGAAAATTTGTAAATATTATATAAGAAAAATGGGAAATATTCCAAGGAAGATGAGGATAGAGAGAAAGCCTATAATCAGTTACTCATGGAAATACATGCATTATCAGGCCTGTGTCCACATTTATTATGATTATAGAAAACAGTTAATACAATTAAAAAATTCAATTATTAGAACAGTTATCATGATAAAAAACAATTATCAAACCATAACAAGTAAAATTGTAAGAAAATATGAACAGCAAAAAAAACAATTACAAAGAGAATCCCCTTCATTAATGGTGTAGAATATAGATTAAGTTGCTTATGAAAGAGTGGGATCCTGGGTAATGGATATATAAGGTGGGAAACTATCAGAAAAGGGAGGTAAAAAGTGGACAAGGATTTTCAGGATAGAACAGGCACGGTTTAACAGTCCAGTATTATACTTTTCCCTTCTGTATTTCAGTCTTCAGTTTTCCTTTGATCAGATCTTGTATCACTTTGCAACAGAATATGTAGTGCAAGTGTGAGAATGCGAGACAGTGGAATGTGTCCCTATGTGGAAAGGGCACTTTTGGACGATATGAGGTGTCTCCTGGCAACAAGACCTTGGAGTCTTTCACTTGGAATGTTGAGGGGTTTTACCCGGACAAAGGACTTCATCCCAGCTATGGTGAAAATAACAAAAGCTTAGTGTTAGATGAAACTAACAAAGTTACCCATGGAATACCAAAAAACCTAGAACATTATTCTAAAATGCCAAAAGAACTAGAACACTTCTTTGCACGATTGTATGCTAAGCCAGATCAAGATAATTTTTTGTAGGAATTATGGTAGATGTGGATCTTCAATATGATCTGCCATTGCAAATTATGCTGGAGAGAAAATGCTTTGCCTTGGTAGTTTTGATCTCGAATATGAAAGAGTTCCAGAATTTTGTCACTCATGTCAAATGTTGAACATTCTTCACAAAATTGTAGAAGGAATAAAACCATGGCATATAGTCAAAAGGAAAACAGATGTTTGTTCAAAAGACATAATTTGATGTATATGGGTAAGGGTGTAGACAACACTGAATCTAAGAAGCAGGGTTTACAAACTGGTGATTAAGAGCATAGCATGACTAATCATCGCATGGAATCTCTAGGAATGGAATTGTGGGAAGACAGAAGGCTTCATAGTATTAAACCAGAGAAGGAAATGTAGGATGGACAGCTTTCTGATGCAGGTATTGCTATCAATCTCTTCATGTCACACGACCTCTAAACATTACACCACTGAATCCCCAATCATTTGCTTGTTGTGCAATGACAGCACCAATATCCACTAATTGTTGTTTCAAGGTATGGTTGTCGGTTGACATCTCTTATAATTCATCGATACAAGAAGCAAATTGTCGTGTGAAGGAATCAATATCTATACATAACTCAGGAAATAATAACACAAATGATTGTAGACATGATCACAAGACCATCAGTCTTGTGCCAGATATTTCAGGTTTAGAAGATGAGGATAAGGTTGCTCTGCAGGATTTTGGGACTAGAGGAACATCAAAGAAAACATGATGATATTGAAGGAAGTCTATCTGGTTCAGAATCTGAGAGAGGACAGCAAACTCAGAATTTATAATCTTCAGAGAAACAACCTAATATTCAGAATACCATCAAAATTTTGAGGTGACAGTTGAAAAAGAGGAGGAACTTGATTCAGCTAAGCAAGAAATTTCACCTCAAGCTGTGGTAAAAAAGAACTTAGGAAGGTCCCTTAAGAAGAAAGATCTGGTTATACACTATACTCGAAGATATGAAAACAAATAATCATGCAGTTCAAATGTCCGTATTAGAATTTTGGAGGAATAGCCTATGTGGAATGCTTATATGGGTATAGTTACTTGAAGAACTTGAATGAAGTAAAACAGACTTACTACACTGTTACAATTTTACTCCTGTATTTAGAGTACAAAGGAGCATAATACAAAAGGTCAAGGCACTTCCTTGAACCCTAACCTAAAAGTTGGGTTCCCATACATAAATAATAATAATAAAGAAACATTACATTTCAATATAGTTTTTATTGTTTGGTATAAACTACTGCTCTTTTCACAAGTTTTTTTTTTCTTCTAATTCAATACAGGCTATCACAGGTTTAGGTTTGCTTGATTTCATGGGTTAGGTGGCGTCCCCCATGGTTTGTGCTTTGCTTTCTCCTTTCTTAAAGCTAATTTCTTATGAAAACTTAATGCTTTCCTGAGAGAAATAAATATAAAAGAAATTAAACTTGACGTACAACCAATCACTATGCTGCAAAACTTCTCATTCAATCTTGGGGGAACAGAAGTGGATATAATAATGGATTGGCTGGCCAGTCTGGGGGATATAGAAGCAAATTTAATAAATCTCAATCTGAAAAAGGATGGAAAGAGGTGAGAAGGTCATAAAAGGGGATCCATCCCTTCGTAAAACTCACTTCTTGAAAGACAGCATGGAAGGCTCTATCAAATCATGGAATTGGGTACTAGTGTAGCAGCTGCACTTTGCAGAGCAGAAGTCAGCCCCTCTGCAACCGAACTAATTTGTTCTAGCAGATTATGAAGATGTTTGGTAAACTGCAAGAAAAAGGAGGAAAAAGGTGGGCAAGGATTTTCAAGAGTGATTAGACACTCTTTGTCCAGTATTATATTTTTCCGTTTTGTAATTTCATCTGCATTTTTCTTTTTATCAGATTTCATATCTCTTTGAAACAGATCAGATCAGTCCCGGTCTTGTAATCTTTTGGTACCTATCAGTTTATTAAAAGTTTAAGAAGAAAATTTAGTACATAAGTCGTGGATAAAAACAACCAATGAGTGTGGATGCCAGCAGAACAACCACTCAAGCTCCCCGCAGAACAACCAAGGCAACTACATCACTAAAAGAAGCCCTAAAATAAACAGAGGTCGAGAGCAAAGTAAAGAGTAGAGAAACAGAGGCAAAGCATCACTGATTGCTGACAGCAGCAGGCGCGTGCAAGGGTGGAAAGTGTCAGCAACTCCAAGAAAGCGGGCGCCGACAACTCCACGAGCAGCGAGTGCCAGCGACTCAGAGCGGCATGTGCCGATGAACGCAACCCTAGCTGAAAAAGGTAAGAGTGTTGGGCTTCTCATGAATTGGGTCAATCACAGGACAAAAAGGATTAACATGGCCCATGATCCCCCCATTAAGCAAGTATCCTTGCATAGTCGTTCAGATCCACACCACTTACAATCCGCCCTCTATGTCAACTCGCTTGGTGCTCCAAACTCGCAGGATCGTGCAATTTTACGATCTTACTCTTGATTTTAACAACACTGGTAATTAATCATATTTGCAAAAATGTGCCAACTAAAAGAGTTGCAATATATACTTTCATAAAATACTAAAGATAATAGTTTCCAGAAAATGTAACTAACAACTCATGTACGTAAAAGACTTTTCATTGTTTGAACACTGGAAATCAATTGCGTCTCAAATGCTCTTTAAAATCAGAAGCTTGGAGTAACTTACCTGCTCAAATAGTCCTTTTGGCAAAAAGGTGAAGAAGTTATATTTGGTAGTTGATATAGAATTCCCCTGTCACAGTGGAAATTAACTAATCAAAATTACTAAAAATGGGTATGTGAAATATACATTATAATACAAACAAGAAATAGTTGAAATTACAAGAAATAGTTGAAATTACAAGAAACAGAAACTAGAATCGATTTGATTTCACAATGATCAATTAAATAGGCAAACTGCGCTGACTTTATTGACTGAATTTCAGTTGATATACATGTTTAAAGAAACTAGAAAAAAGTAGATAAGTTTCATAGAATTATTATTTTCAAATGTCTGGCCAATAATAATGGGCAATCTTATACATCACAAGCTTTTTACGTGAATTCTTCCATCCCAGATAATCTAAAAGTCCCAGATTGGTAGAAACAACATTGCCTTGGAAATAAAAATCCACTTACCAATATCCTTTTTTATGCTTCACAAGAGTTTGACTTCCTTCATATCAATTAAAGAGATTTCAAATGAATATAACGACCATATCACATATCTAATTATACAATTCAATGATTATACTACGAGTCCTAACCACCTTTTTGATTCAATATAATACATTTTTTTTGCATTTTATTTCCTATAAATGAGATTACATTACTCTTCTCCATAGTAAAAAAAATACTGTTAGAAGTGGCTTTAAGCCTAACTCAACCCCACAAAACCGGCTTGTAGGGTGAGATTTGCACCAACTTATAAACTATAAATTGACCTTATCTCTAGTCGATGTGGGACTTCAACAAATACTTATGCCTGTTATCCAAAAAAAACACTACAAAATTTTCTAAACTGCTGCCAACCGCTATTTGCACCCTAGTTCAATGTTAAACGTCAAGAAAAATGGAATAGTGCAATCAATTGTAGTTAAACCCATGCTAGATCAATTAGTTTGTTTTATAGTTATCACAATATTATGTGATTCACAATTTGAATATTTTGATACAATACATTTTGGCTACCTACCAATTTCTATCACAAGATAAATCTTAAATGACTTTGTATCTTACTATACATGAATGAATCTATGAACTTTCGTATCCCCAATAAGATTCACAATAGGTTTTTACTCTGTAACCAATTCCCAAAAATAATAAAGTCAAGCAAAAAATTGTAGATGAAAAGGAAATTCCAAAAGCACTTGTCAACTTATCCTATTTGATTATTCCACTTTTATTTGTCACTCACTTATTCAGTGGATGTACTCTATTTAGCTATTTAACTGTTTCACTTATTCCATGCATGTACTCTACTTAAGTATTTAGTTGTTGTCTTTTCATTCTTCTAAAATAAAGACTTCATAAACTTAGATATGACTAAAAATTTCGTTTAGGCCAATGCTTAAGCCATTCTATCTATTTCTACTTTGAAGTGTTTGCATTGAGAACTATATATCTTCTATATGGTATATTTGAAGTAATTTCTCATTGTACCTGAATCATATGATTCGATACAAAATAACAATTAAAGACTCAAAAATAAATGATTTACGATGTCAATTTGAAAACTTTGGTCTTCAAATTTGCTGTACAAGGGTGGGTATTTTCACTTTTTGGCATGGCTTTCTTGCTTGTTTGAAGTCCAAGCCAACTCACATTCTTGTTTGAACCCACAGTCACACACCATTCTTCACAAAGTAGCACATTTTTTTAATTAGACATCTACATTCTAAGATTGGTATACTATAATTAGCTTTTGGCATTTATGTTTTATGCCTTATAATGAAATGTATATGCTGTATGTGCTAATTTTGGAATTGTTAAGTTTCTTACAGCATTACAGGTTGACTCAATAAAAGATCACTTGACATTTATATGGATCATTAATATGAATTATAAAATTTGTAAAGTTGAAGCCATCTTTACCTCCCCTCCTATAAAAGGGTATACTTATATTGTGTACGAAAAATTTGTACGTGTTGTCTTTAGAGCTGTTAGCTATTATACAGCTATATCTCTTGTTTTGTATGTGTACTCTGTTAGCTATTACTGTTTTATAGGATATATATTTTATTGCGAGTGGTTATCTATAAGTCTCTTGTAAGCTTCTAATTTCAACAGTAAAGAACGAATACAGTTTTGTCATAAATTTGCTAGCATGCAGTTCGTTTCACATGGTATCTAGAGCAAAATATTTTACGTGAATCCTGTTGTTTCAACCCATGCTATCTCACTGAAGATGATTGTACACTTCATCACATTAATCTGACGTATCAAGCCTGGGAAATTCAAGACCAAACATTACTTGTTTGGTTTCAATCTACTCCCTCTATGTTGGTTTTGTCACGAGTCACTCCTAGAGGTTTGGGAGAAGATTCATGAATACTTTGGTCTTCAAACAAAATCTCATGCTACATTTTCTCTTATATAACTTCGTCATCTAGATTATTTTACTTGAGATTAAAACTGATAAAATATATTCTTGAGGGCTTAACAAATCCCTCTCATTATCTTCTATATATATTGAAAACACAAGAGTACATGGAACATCAAGAGTCTGCACTAGACCTCTAGGTACAGAAATAAGTAAGACTCATTAATGGTCTAGCAGACAAGCCTTAATGATGATATATAACAGTAACTTTTCCCGAACAAAATGACAATCAATTTCTATATGTTTAGTTCTCTGGTGAAACACTGGATTTGATGCAATGTGAAGAGCAGCTTGGTTATCACAATACATCTTCATACTCTGGATGTCACAGAAGCTAAGCTCTTGAAGGAACTACTTCACCCATATAAGTTCACATGTTAGTGACGTCATTGCCCTATATTCAGCTTCAGCTGTTGATCGAGCCACTACATTTTGTTTCTTACTTTTCCATGAGATAATGTTTCCTCCAAGGAAAACACAATATCCAGTAGTAGATCATCTATCAATAGGAGAACCTGCCCAATCGGCATCACAATATCTTGATACCTAAAGGCTTCCTTTTTCTTCATGTTAGAATAATTACTAAGTCTACTTGTTAGTGTAGTCAGTAGGACTAAAATAGGGGGTAGTGTGTTGGGTTATCTCTAATCATTGTACCTAACAGTCTAGGACAATGACTTGACCTTCTATCTCTCTATTGTATCAACTCTTTATCTATATAAATAACAAAACATGAGAGGTGTCTTTCAAGCCCTCAAGAACATATTTTTATCTCAAGTTGGTATCAGAGTAGGTTCATCCTGCTCTGGTTTCTGTCCTAAAGTGGTCGACCAGCATTGTCATTGTTGTTTGCATCTGTCCGATGCCCATTGTCGCCGTCTGCGGTTGTCTTGCCATTGTCAGCAGCTGTCAACTGCAGTTTGAAGCTCTTCAACTTGGTTCTCTGCCATCTCGCATTTGTCTGCCGCCCTCCAACGCCGTCCGCCGTCACTGTTCCATCCGGCGACCACTGGATCTGGTTCGCCTCTTCACACGACGACCAACCCCATCGGTGCCGACGTCTGATTCTTCCCCACGCGCCGCTTCTTTGTGCGCAGCGAACAGGCGCGTTCAGCTCACACGCCGCCCTCTGGCCGTAGGAAAGTCACCGCGACACCTTCATAGTCGTTGCCTGGACCTCCTCTCTCTGCTCTGCCGCTCAAAACCCTGCTTCAGTGAGGTCCAGAAGCTCCCCTTGAAGAAAACCCTAGGGTTTTCTAGTTCCTCTCGGTTTTCTGGCTCCTTTTTGGTTCCTCTCTTATTTTTATCAACAATGGCGTCTAGAAGTGTTCTTTCTTTCTCTAGAAGTCCCTCAATTACTTCCGAAAAGCTAAATGGAAAGAATTACCTCTCTTGGTCTGCTGCCGTGGAAATGTGGTTTCTCGGTCAAGGACATTATGACCACCTTGAGCAAGATGGACGCCAAGTACCTTCTGAAAAAGCTAAACAATGGAAACAAGCAGATTTCCAATTGTGTGCCCTATTGTGGCAATTTGTGGAACCCCGACTTTTGATATCTCTTAGAGCCTTCAAAACATGTCACTCTTTTTGGAAGAAAGCTCAAAGCATTTATGCTAATGATATTCAACGTCTATATGATACAACAAACAAGCTTGCATGTCTCAAAATGACAGATCATGATATGGTCTCCTTCATGACTGAAGCCCAAGCAATTGTGAAAGAGTTGAGAATGTTCTTGGAAGTGGAATCTTTGGAAGACATCAAGAAGAAGCTTGACAAGTATTATATGGTGATGATCCTCCGTGCTTCACATCCAGATTTGAATCATATCAGAGATCAACTTCTGACAATCATGAGGTCCCTTCCTTGGAAGCCTTGACCACACGTCTTCTTCGTGTTCCAGTGCCTCAATCTCAGGAACCATCTGCCATAGTTGCCACGCGAGGAAGAGGAGGACGTGGCACTAGAGGAGGAGGACGTGGAGGTTAGGGACGTCCACAGTGCACTTACGGTAAGAGGGTGGGTCACACCCAAGAAAATTGCTACTCCTTGCATGGTTTTCCTTCAAAAACAGCCAATGTCTCTAAGGTTGAAACTCCCACTTCCAACTCCAAGTTCACTGAGGAAGAGTATCAAGAGTATCTGCGATTAAAGTCTAACAGCTTGGCACAATCATCTCAATCCCCAAGTTTGTTGTATCATAGAGACGTTGAATATCATTAGCATAAATGCTTTGAGCTTTCTTCCAAAAAGAGTGACATGTTTTGAAGGCTCTAAGAGATATCAAAAGTTGGGGTTCCACAGATTGCCACAATAGGGCACTCAATTGGAAATCTGCTTGTTTCCATTGTTAAGCTTTTTTAGAAGGTACTTGGCTTCCATCCTGCTCAAGGTGGTCATAATGTCCTTGACCGAGGAACCACATTTCCACGGCAGCAAACCAAGACAGATAATTCTTTACGTTTAGCTTTTCGGAAGTAATTGAGGGACTTCCAGAGAAAGAAAGAACACTTCAAGACGCCATTCTTGATAAAAATAGGAGAAGGAAAAGCGCGACAGTGAGGAACCAGAAAACCCTAGAGGGTTTCTTAGGGTTTTCTTCAAGGGGAGCTTCTAAACTTCACTAAAGTAAGGTTTTGAGGGTCAGAACA